CACTGGTAGTAGGAAATCATCCCCCTCAGCTCCTGTTAACCCTGCTAGCCAAAGCCTTATTGGGCAGGTTGAACCAAGCTAGATAAATAGCAGAAAAGCTTGTAAGACAATGATATCAATGGCAAGTTATACAAGTTTAGCTTGTGAATCTCCAGCGCACATTTTGGGATCCATCTGTACCTTATACTCAAATCTATACTTTCCAGAATTAGAATCGTAGAATCATAGAATCACACAGCATAAAAACTCAACTTTGTGCCGGATCTTTGAAAAGAGCAATGTAATGTCAATCCCACTCCCCAGCCCTTTCACCATTACCCTGCAGACCCGTCCTCCTCAAATACCCGTCCACCGCATTTTTAAAAGTAGTTATCGAATCGGCCTCGACCACCCTTTCAGGTAATGCATTCCAGATTCGAAGAACTTGCTGCATGAAAAAAATTCTTATCACCTCTCCTCTGCTTCTTTAGATACTATTTTGGATCTGTGACCTTGAGTCACCGACACACCCACCAGTGGAAACAGTTTTTCCCTTTCTAACCTATCAAATCCCCTCATGATTTTGTGGAGTCCTGTAGCTCAATGGTTAGAGCACTCGCTTTGCAAGCGAGAGACCTGAGTTCAATTCCAGGCAGGGCGAAACCTTGGGCAAGTTTCCTTACTCCACACGCCTAATAATAATCCCTCCAAAACCAAAAACACTAAGAAATTGGTCATTTTCAATCTACGACTGTTTGTGGGACACTGCTGTGCGCAATTGGCTGCCGCGTTCACCCACAAATATACAGTCAATTCACTTTACAGTGTGTTCTGTGAAGCGCTTTGGGACATCCTCCCGAAGTGAAAAGCGCTATATCAAATGCAAGGATTATTATTATTAAGACCTCTATTAGGTTTCCTGGGAATCTTCTCTGCTCCAACAAGAATAATCCCAGCCTCTTTAGCCTTTCCTCTTAATCAAGGTCCCTCATTCCTGGTACCATCTTCGTAAATCTCCTCTGCACCCTTTTCAATGCCTTAACATCCTTCCAACAGTGTGGTGCCCAGAACTGGGCGCAATATTCTAACTGAGGCCTAACCAGTGTTCTATATAGATTAATCATAACCTCCTGACTCTTGCACTCCTGACTCTATGCCCTATTTATAAAGCCTAGTATCCCATATGCCCTTTTTACAGCTTTATCTGCCTGTCCTGCCACCTTCAAGGATTCATTTACCTCAACCCCCAGGTCTCTCTGTTCTTGCACCCCCCTTAAGATTGTATTACCAGTCTATATTGCCTCCCCTCATTCTTTTTACCAAAGTGCATTACCTCGTATTTCTCCACATTGAAATTCATCTGCCATGTATCTGCCCATTTTACCATTCTGTCTATGTCTTCCTGCAGTTGGCTACTATCCTTCTCACTGTTTCCCACCCTACCTAACATTGTGTTGTCCGCAAACTTGGAAATGGTACTTGCTAAACCCAAGTCCAGATCATTTATGTATATTAAGAAGAACAGTGGTCCTGATACCGATCCCTGGGGGACGCCACTGTACACTTCCTTCCTGTCAGAAAAGCAGTCATTCACCACAACTCTCTGCTTTCTGTCTCTCAGCCAGTTCTGGATCCGTGCTGCCACTGTTTCTTTTATACCATGGGTTTCTATCTTTCCTACAAGTCTTTCATGTGCAGCTCGTGTACAGCAGCTCGTGTACTGTCCCGCACCAGGCTTCGGGACCACATCACTCCCACCCTCGCTCGCCTCCACTGGCTCCCCATCCCCCAGAGGATTGATTTCAAGATCCTCATCCTCACCTACAAGGCCATTCACGGCCTTGCTCCCTCCTACCTCTCCAACCTACTATCCCCCTACTCACCTGCCCGTACCCTCCGTTCCTCTGGCTCCGGTCTGCTCCACATCCTCCGCCCCAACCGCCCTACCATCGGTGGTCGGGCCTTCAGCCTCTCAGCCCCCAGGCTCTGGAACTCCATCCCCCAGTGCCTTCGCCTTGCTTCCTCCCTTTCCTCCTTCAAGGCCGGTCTCAAAACCTTTCTCTTTGACCGTGCCTTCAGCTCCCCTCTCGACTCTCTTCCCCCTCCTCGCTCCCTCCCTTCCCTCCCCTCACCCTGACCATTTCCCCCCTCCTCTCTCCCTCCCTTCCCTCCCCTCACCCTGACCATTTCCCCCCTGCTCGGGTCATGACCCAACTGTGCAGCGCCTTGGGACGTCCTCCTGACGTGAAAGGCGCTTTATAAATGGAATCTTGTTGTTGTTGTTGTTGTCTTTCATGTGGCACTTTGTCAAATGCCTTTTGAAAGTCCATATAATTTACATCAACTGCAATACTTTTATCCACGCTCTCCGTTACCTCATCGAAAAATTCTATTAGATTTGTTAGACAAGATTTGCCTTTAACAAATCCATCTTGACTGCCCTTAATTAACCCATATGCTTCTAAGTGAAGATTTATTCGGTCCCGGATTATAGTCTCCAGGAGTTTCCCCACTACTGATGTTAGGCTGACTGGCCTGTAGTTCCCAGGTTTGTCCTTCTGTCCCTTTTTGGACAGGGGAGTCACATTGGCCACTCTCCAGTCCTCTGGCACCACTCCTGTGTCCAACGAAGATTGAAAAATTGTAGCCAAAGCCTCCGCTAGTTGTACCTTTGCCTCCCATAGTAACCTTGGTTGCATCCTGTCCAGACCGGGCGACTTGTCTACCTTCAACGCAGTCAACCTTTTCAGTACTTCCTCTTTGTTTATACTTATTCTATCCATTTCCTCTGCGCTCTCCACCGATACTGCGGCATTTGGTGCATCCACTTCTTTTGTGAAGGCAGATGCAAAGTAGTCATTCAGTTCATCAGCCATGCCCTCTGCCTCCACAATAAGATTTCCGTCTTGGTCCTTAATTGGCCCCACCCTACCTCTGACTAACCTTTTTTTCTTGATATGTTTGTAAAATATTTTAGAATTCCCTTTAACCTTGCTATACCCACTAACCTTTTTCCGTATAATCTTTTTGCCCATCGTATTTTTTTTTCAAACCTATTCTGCACTTCCTATATTCTATTTGGTTGTCTTCTGTATCTTGGGTTTGACATTTGTCATACGCCTCCTTTTTCTGCTTCATTCTAGATACAATTACCTTTGTCATCCAGGCAGGTTTGGAAGCCCTACTTTTCCCTTTTGTGGGAATGTATTTATTCTGTCCCCGAGCTATCTCACCCTTGATGACTTCCCACTGCTCTTTAGTTGTTTTACCTGCCAATCTTTCTTTCCAGTCTACCTTGGCTAGGTCTCTTTTTAACTCATTGAAATTTGCCCTCTTTCAGTTGAGTATCTTCACCTTAGATAGTTCGTTGTCTCTTTCCATATGCACTCTGAATCTAATGATGTTATGATCACTATTGCCCAGATGCTCTCCCACTGAAACCTGCTCCACTTGCCCTACTTCATTCCCCAGAACTAGATCTAGCACTGCTTCCTTCCTCGTTGGGCTGGAAACGTACTGATCAAGAAAGTTGTCCTGTATGCATTTTAGGAATCTTTCCCCCTCCTTGCCCTTTGCGCTGTTGTTTTGCCAGTCTATGTTGGGATAATTAAAGTCCCCCATTATCACGACTCTATTGGCCTTGCATCTGTCTGAGATCTCCTTGCAGACCTGCTCATCTATTTCCTTCCCATCTTTTTGGTGGTCTATAGTATACCCGTATCAGCGTAACAGCTCCTTTTTTGTTCCTTAACTCTAACCAGATAGATTCCGTTTTGGGGTCCTCCAGCACCTCGACCCTTTCCACGGCTATAACCGTATCCTTGATTAACATTACCACACCTCCTCCTTTTTTTCCTTCCCTATCCCTCCTGAATACATTATAGCCAGGAATATTCAGCTCCCATTCCTGTCCTTGCTTGAGGTAAGTTTCTGTTACTGCTACTATGACCACTTGAGCCTGTAGCTCACCATATGACCACTTGAGCCTGCAGCTCACCAATCTTGTTTGTTAAACTCCGTGCATTTAGGCACATGCACTCCAAGACCGACTTGACCTGTTCTGCACTTCTCCCCTGTTTTATTTCTCCATTTTCTAGCTCTTTGTTTTTTGCATTCCCGTCCCCCCTCAAAACTAGTTTAAACCCTCCCCAACAGCATTGTTAGCCTGTCTGCAAGAACAATCACCCCAGCCCTGCTTAGGTGCAAGCCATCCATATGGTACAGGACCCACCTGCCCCAGAACTGGTCCCAATGATCCAGAAACCTGAAGCCCTCTTTTCTGGACCATTTCTTCAGCCAAGCATTCATTGATCCTGCCATTATGGTACTTATTTGCCCGAGGAACAGGGAGTAATCCAGAGATCACCACCTTGGATGTTCTATTCTTTAGTATGTTCCCCAGCTTTTGATATTCACCCTGTAGAGTCTCAGCCTTTTTTTTAAACCAATATTATGGATCCCAACCTGGACCACCACTTCTGGATGTTCTCCTTCCCCCTGAAGAATTTTATCCACCAGTTCCGCGATGTCTAAGACTGTTGCACCAGGGAGGCAGCATACCATCCTTGACTCGCGTCATCTGTTACAGAAACGTCTGTCTAGACCTCTCACTGTTGTATCCCCTATGACAATAGCATTGCTCCTGTTACTTATGTCCCCCTGTTCAACCAATCATTTTTTACTGTCCTCCCTGGAGATATCAACACTCTCAATGTTTAGTACTCAATGTTAGGTAAGCAGGATGTGTCCCTCCAGGGAGAGAGTGCACATTCCATTCCAACAATCCATCTCTGGCATTTGAATAACTTCCTAATGTAAACAAATGTAAAATATCCTCATTATAAAGTTTCACTGTGCTGCATTCAAACTCTTTTAAAAGAGTTGTAAATTAAATGTTTCAGCTAAAAAAAATGAATCTATTCCATTCTACTGTTACATCTGATGGGATAAAATTTAACTTTTCTCAAATCTGAGCGGCAGCAGTTTAATTCATGTTAATAAGTCATGGACTTTTGACATACCTGTGTTCGTAAAATTTCTCCTTTGGACAACTGCATGTCTCCAGTCAGCTCCTTCACTGATATGCCCAGTGCCCCTAGACGCTTGCTGAAGTAATTTGTCATTTCAGCAGCTAAGGCCTTCATAGGAGCTACATACACAATCTGAAGTGAAAGGACAATTTATTGATAAATGAGCAAAAGCACACCGTTCTTTGTTTCACAGCAACCTAAACAGATCACACTTCATGGTGAAATATTGTTCTGTTCAATTAAGCTGAAAAAATCTTAATAGTGATTTATGGAAAGTCATTGTACATGGAATGCAGCTGTTAAAAAGACAATGAATTTACTTATAATTCAATTACCTTGAATTTGATTTGAATTTAAAATCAAATACATATATATTTTCACGTGGATATTAAAAAGTTTCAGGTTAAACACTATTTATTTTAATATCAAGTCAAAGAGCAGCATGATTACAGATTTCATATAGCTTTGAAATTGCGTACATTACAGAAATTCAACTAAATAATATGTTTTATCGTCACAAATAAAAGTTCCTCCTTGATCCATTAAGTCCGTACCTTGAACTCATCCTTTTTGATAACTCCTTGGTGAATGTGTTGACGGATTTCATGCAGAATAGTAAGCATGGCAATATTAGTTTTTCCAGCTCCAGTGGGTGCACAGATCAGCATGTTTTCATTTGTGTTGTAAGCTGTCTCAAATACTATTGACTGGATACGGTTCAGGCATTTCATCCCTTTAAAAACCAGCTGTCCAATCTATAAATTTAAGCATGAAAATCAGAATAAAGTAACCGCAACCTAAAGTAGTAATACTACTACTAATAATAATCCTTGCATTTGATACAGTGCTTTTCACGTCTTCTAGACATCTCAAAGCGCTTCACAGAATATACTGTAAAGTGAATTAACTGGATATTTTGTGGGCGAAACGAGGCAGCCAAATTGCGCACAGCAGTGGGCCAGAAACAGTCATGGACCAATTTATTACTGTTTGTTTTCTACAGGGATTATTATTAGGCATGTAGAGTGTGGAAACAAAATCAAATTCAGATTTTTATTTATAAATGGTTTCAGATCTTGAACATTTCTGCAGTAAATTATAAAGGAAATATTCTGATGTTTAAACACCATACATTGAATCTCAGCATTTTGAGTTAGATTCCCATTTCTTGCATCAAAGTAAACAGACTAAACACTCTGCAATTGACAGAAGATTTTAGTATCAATGCAAGTATAGTATAGTATAGTACAATGTAGTTATATATATACTATACAATAAGTATAGTAGATAGTACAATGATTTCCATAATTCCCCTCCCAGCGAATTCCTTTACTTTGATGCATTTAAGGATGCAACACACTTAAATGTAACAAAGTAAAATGAACTATAATATAATATATAATATCTTATAATAAGAAATAAAAACAGAAGTCGCTGGGAACACCTCACAGAGCCAATAATCTCTGCAATTGATATCACATTGTTGACGCGTTTCAAAGAGCTTCACAGAGTATATTGTAAAGTGAATTAACATGTCAAGTGACTGCCAGGATGGTGGACGGCGAACTTGATGGATCCTGGTCTTCTTTTGCCTATCAATTTCTTATTTTCTTTTGTATTTTGTGGCGAAATGCGACAGCCAATTTGCACATGGCAATGTCCCACAAACAGTCATGGATTAATAATAATCCTTGCATGTGATACAGCGCCTTTCAAGTCAGGAGGACTTCTCAAAGTGCTTCACAGGATTTACTGTAAACTGTAATGACTGTGTATTTGGAGGGAAAGCGATATGCGCCTTCCATCCTTGCCCATTTTTAAAAATATATAAAACTTGGCACAAAACTGAAAATTAATTGCTTTTCTGTCATTTCCCAACCTTAAACTTTGAACCAACCTAAGACAAAATCAATTTTGGGCAATTGTGAAACTCTATCCACAAAACTGAGATCATCAAAACTGTTGATATGTTACCAGACTTAAGCTCCGATTCATTAAAGTGAAATGTAATATGTGTCCTTGGAATATCTACTTCAATTAGGAATACCAGTATATTGGTGTGAAATTAATAAAGATAATAGGATGTTTGATCATACACGACAGTAGATTTTTTTTAAAAAAGAAAGTAATTTTGAAATATACTACCAGCTTCATTCATTCAGATTTACATCATTGGAAAATTCATAAGGCAAATTTATTTATAGCATTATATTAAAATGGTAGATCACTATTTAAAATAAAAGATAGTGGGATCCTAGATTTTATAAATAGGGTACAGAATACGAAAGCAAAGGTTATGCTAAACCTATATAAATAATTGGTTAGATCAGATTTGGAGCATTGTGGCAGTAATGGGCTCCTCATTTTATGAAGAATGTCAAGTCGAAGGAGATGGTACAGAGGAGCTTCACTAGGATTATACTTGCGACAAGAGGTATTACTTATGAGGAAGGACTAGAGAAACTGGGGGGGGTTCCACTAGAGCAGAGAAGGTTAAGAGAAGATCTGATAGAAGTACTCAAAATTATTTGGGAATTTGATGTGGGAAATAGAAAAAAAAATTGTCCTACGAAAAACAGCCAGTGAAGCAGAATTCATAAAAGTTTTTAAAAAGGAAATAGATAAATATTTGAAAAATATCAAAATAGGGGGAAAACAGGGCAACATTATTAAATGGAACTCTTGCAGAGTAAACAGAGGTAAGATGAGCCAAATGGCTTCTTTCCGAAGTGTAAAATTCTATGAGTTGGTATCTTCATCACCCCTGGAGAGATTAAGCAGTGAATCATAATTCGGCTTTGTGTATCCTACCACTTTGATCAATAAATATTGGTATCTGTTTAGGTTATATTTGTGATCATGTGAAACCTAAGGCTACTTTTTCTCAAGTGGTAAAGATGTAAATAAATATGAGAATGAATGAATGCTGGCACATACTTTTCACTGGAGTCTGTTAGTTATGCTTAACTGTGTTCGTTATTCAGGCAATGAATTGAGGAGTTCTGGGCAAGTAAAAACAGCAGTCTGAAGGAATTCTATTTTAAGAGTTTTCTCTGACAATAATTCAATGTTTCTCTCTACTCCATACTAAATACATTCAATACAAGAGAATTTACAGCAGCTTGCTGCATGGGTCACTAACTGCGGGGTTTTGCTTGTCAAGAAAGTATCTGAACGCAAAGAGTTGAAATGCCAAGCTCTAGACTCTTGTGAGGCTACACAGATAAGTCGTGTAACATCACCAAGATTAATTATCTTCCAGGCTCCAAGGATTTAGAGACAGGTGAACACATGACAATGCTTGTAACATTTTAAACAAAGCTTATTTAAGCCTTGCTGACAGCGCTCACTGGGAAGAAAGCAATTGAAAGAAAATTCATGTTGAAGCCGTAGCATCCATGATAAAACAGCAAATTATGTTAATTTTCCTTGCATTTTGAGATAGTGCCTTATCATGTTGTTCAGAATTGGTTGTAAGAATTTATCTGAGAAAGATCATTAAGAATATGAAGGGTTATTATAAGGAAAATAGTAAAAGAAAATTTCCACTGGTCGGTGAGTCAGTAACAAGCAAACAGTTATAATAAATACCAATAGAATTAAAAGGAAAAGTCGGAAAAAATATTGACATAGAGTTGTTGAATTGTGAATTTTGAATTCTCTACCAGAAACAGTTGTTGAAGCAGTCCATTAACCCTTTTAAAATGGAATTTTATTGATGCCTCAAGCACTCCAGGACATTACTCTGCGTGACGGGTAATATATAAATGCAAGTTGTTGTTGCTCAGATACAGGGAGCAAATACAAATACGTTTAAATTGGCTCTTGGGCAGAAAAACATCAGAGTAGATTTGTTAGCCGAATGCCCTGGTTCTCTCCTGTAACATTCTATGATGCTACCCAAAGCCTTATGCCCGCCTTCAACTAGAAGTGAACGGATTCAAACTGCATGATCTTGAAAGAGCAGAATTAGCAAGTTATAGCAAATTTCAAGTTATAGCTTGAAATTTGAAAATTAAGAATAAATATTTGAGTCTAACAATTTATTTATTGTAATAGTATGCTTAGCGTCTTTAACTATGTTCATCTCTAGGAGTTGTCGACCTCTCCGCCGCCTTTGACACCGTGAACCACTCAATCCTCCTCCACCGCCTCTCCTCCCACCTCAACCTTCAAGGTTCTGTCCTTGACTGGTTCAGGTCCTACCTTTCACACCGCCTCCACTTCATCGTAGCAAATGGCTTTTCCTCCAGCCCCCCACCGTACTTGTGCGGTGTTCCTCAGGACTCTGTCCTCGGTCCCCTCCTCTTCACCCTCTACATGCTCCCCCTTAGTGACATCATCTGCAGACTTGGGGTAAATTTCCACATGTATGCGGATGACACTCAACTCTACCTCTCTAACTCCACCCGCAACTCCAGGACTACTGGCATCCTGACCGACTGGCTGTCCGCATCAAGTCCTGGACGAGGGACAACTTTCTCCAACTCAACGTCAGCAAGACCGAGGACCTCCTGAGGTGCGGAGGCGCTGGCAGCATCAGCCTCCACGGCTGCACACTCAACCTCACTAAGCCAGTCAAGAAACTGGATGTCTTGTTTGACCCTGAACTGCCTTTTCTCCCCCACATGCGCCATGACCGGCACTGACTACCACCACCTCCGTAACATTGCCAGACTCCGCCACTGCTTCACCCCTCAGACTGCCGAGACCCTCACCTACGCATTCGTCACATCAAGGCTCGATTACGAGAACTCCTTCCTCATCGGCTTTCCCAAATCTTCCCTCCACAAGCCGCAGATCATCCAAAACTTTGCAGCTCGTGTACTCTCATGCACCAGGCTCCGTGACCGCATCACTCCCACCCTCGCCCGATTCCACTGGCTCCCCATCCCCCAGAGGATCGATTTCAAGATCCTTGTCCTCACCTTTAAGGCCATCCATGGCCTTGCCCCCTCCTACCTCTCTTACCTGCTGACTCCCTACCAGCCTGCCCGCTCCCTCCGTTCAGCGGGCTCTGGCCTGCTCCATGTCTCCCACCTGACCCGCCCAACCATCGGTGGCCGGGCTTTCAGCTTCTCTGCCCCCACACTCTGGAACTCCATCCCACGGTCCCTTCACCTCGCTTTCTCAAGGTTTGATGTTTGTGGTTTTGGGTCTTGTGAGTTTCACTACTTCTATATTTTAGATATTATTTTGATCTACTCAAGTAAACTTTTTGTACAAATTTTAATCATTTATTAAAACAAGTTATGATGTGTTACAGAGTTAGACCACTTTTGGAATGCAGATTATGATTCTCTCCATGTCCCAGATAAAATTGGAGTGGGAGGAAACATTCTTTCTTTGTCAGTAAATTCATTGAACTTGACAGTGTGAGTTTATAATGAATGAAGCCTTCAGCATAAACAGGGAGAGGGAACAGTTCCTGACTAAAGTGGCCTCAGTGTGGTGTAAATCTGGAACTGTTCAATGTATCCTAAACTTTCACTCATTGGTTGGTAGTGTATTCATTTGTACATAGAGGTTGAACAAATGAGAAGAAATGAAAACCAGATTGTAGGTGTTATTAATAATAATCCTTGCATTTGATATAGCGCTTTTCGCGTCTTCTAGACATCTCAAAGCGCTTCACAGAATATACTGTAAAGTGAATTGACTGTATATTTGTGGGCGAAACGCGGCAGCCAATTGTGCATAGCAGTGTCCCACAAACAGTCATGGATTGAGTGACCCAATTAATATTTTATTTATA